AGTAAAATCCCTGCAAGCTGCATGGACACTTTTCAAAGGCACCATAATAGAGGCCCAACTTAAATGTATACCCCAAATTAAAAAACATAGTAGAAGAACTAAAGAGCCACCGTGGCTTAACAACCATGTACAGGAAGCAATGAGCAATAAAAAGGCATCTTTTAAAACGTGGAAGTCAAATCCTAGTGAGGGAAATAGAAAGGAGCAATAAACACTGGCAAATTAAGTGTAAAAATGTAATAAGAAAAGCCAAAAAGGAGTTTGAAGAACAGCTAGCAAAAAACTCCAAAGGTAATAACAAAATGTTTTTAAGTACATCAGAAGCAGGAAGCCGGCTAAACAACCAGTGGGGCCCATGGACAATCGAGATACAAAAGGAGCACTTAAAGACGATAAAGTCATTGCGGGGAAATTAAATGAATTCTTTGCTTCAGTCTTCATGGCTGAGGATGTTGGGGAATTTCTCAAACCTGACCCGTCCTTTGTAGGTGACAAATCTAAGGACTTGTCACAGATTGAAGTGTCATTAAAGGAGGTTTTGGAATTAATTGATAAACTTAACAGTAACAAGTCACCGGGACCAGATGGCATTCACCCAAGAGATCTGAAAGAACTCAAATGTGAAACTGCAGAACTATTAACTATGGTTCTATTAACTATTAACTGCAGAACTATGGTTTGTAACCTATCCTTTAAATCAACTTCTGTACCCAATGACTGGAAGATAGCTAATGTTACACCAATATTTAAAAAGGGCTCTAGAGGTGATCCTGGCAATTACAGACCAGTAAGTCTAACGTTAGTACCGGGCAAATTAGTTGAAACAATAGTAAAGAATACAATTGTTAGACACATAGAAGAACATAATTTGTTGGGCAAAAGTCGACATGGTTTCTGTAAAGGGAAATCATGTGTTACTAATATATTAGAGTTCTTTAAAGGGGTCAACAAACACATGGACAAGGGGGATCCAGTAGATATAATGTACTTAGATTTCCAGAAAGCCTTTGACAAGTTCCCTCACCAAAGGCTCTTACGTAAATTAAGTTGTCGTGGGATAAGAGCGAAGATCCTTTCATGGATTTAGAACTGGTTAAAAGACAGGAAACAAAGTGTAGGAATAAATGGTAAATTTTCAGAATGGAGAGATGTTTCCCCAAGAGTCAGTCCCAGGACCAATCCTATTCAACTTATTCATAAATGACCTGGAGGAAGAGGTAAACAGTGAGGTGGCAAAGT